ATAAGCAAATATTAAAAAAACACAGATAAACATCAATTTTTGTGTGTCACATTGTATGTTGAATGCAGCACTGATTCAAATTATATGTTTGTAAAGTCTGTAGTTTTGAAGGAATTATAAACTTAAATTACCAATATTGAGGTGATGGTATACCTTCTGCCTTTGATCTCTTCAGTGTGGTTTCCACCCTTCTGTTCCTCATCTTTCCATATTCTTCACCTGGTTATTGGACAAAGGTTTATCCACTTTAACTATGTCTAGCTGTCGGGTTGATTTGTCGAACACCTTCTGTTTCTCCAGGTTTCGGCTTGCTCTGTCATCCCATGTCATTTTCCTCTTTTTCTACTCCTTTCTTGTCATGCATCCTCCACATTCCTTTGGTTTGCCTTATTGGGATCTCATTGTGATCCTTTATGTCTTTCCCATCCTTCTTTTGAACATTTGTCTTCATATTCCATCTACCATCTCTCACTCAAGACCTATTTCCTTCTCCTCCTTGCTTGTGGATGTGTAGGTCAGATAATTATGCCTTTAATGTTACCCGCTTCGTCTACCATTCCTCTTATGTCATCCTATATCCAGATTGATCTTCCTCCCTCCAACCTATGTTTCACCTGAAGGATGTTTGGCTTTCACATCCATTTTTGTACTTTCCTTCTCCCACTGGTACTCCCATTCTGCTCCTAATCAGCTTCTTTGTCCAGTTCACTCCTTACGGTATTGTTACATGTCCTACCTCTTTTCGGGCTTCATGTTCCAGACTTTTTATTCCCTGAAACCCTTCTGTTTCCCATGATCTATTCCCTGTCATGTAAAGTGTTTGGGTTTGTCAATTCATTACATGGATGTTTTCAGACTTATTCATGGCAGGTTGCCCCATCTCCACAACATTTGTTCTCATCAAATTCCACATATCACAATGTCCTTGGCTGCTTGCCTTTTCTGTCTTTTGGAGGATATCATTCAGGCTGGAATATGGACCACTCCCAATACCTCTGTTGCTTATTATCTGCACGATCTGGTTGTATCTTCCTCTAGTGGATACCGTCTCCCTCCCATGGTGATTCTACACTTATGCATTAACCTTTGAGTGGTGTAAGTCTTATCATTTACTTTCAATTAATTTTTTTTTATTTTCAGCAACCCTAGTTTTAAACACAGATAATGGGATCCCACTTTGTGGCAGGTGTTGCCTGGTCAGGTATGCTTTGCCTCAAACCTGAACTATTTACTGATTGCACTATAACACTCACTGTAGAGTTGGAATGTTTCTGCAAGACCACTGGTGGCATATTCAGTGGTGTATGTGTTTCTAGATATCACTCATTGGTGGAGTGTCACTCATGGACTTCATGCATAAAGCATAAGGGGATTAATGCACATCCTTGCTGACCCTTTGAATAAATTGGGTTGGTCTGCTTTTCAAAATATGGAATCATGGACACCCATTGCACTTTCTCCGATGTGATGTTTCTTTGGATTCCACAATGCATGTATTTCTCCCCTTTTTTCTTCTTAGTGAGTATTGGAGTCCATATCATTTCCCAGTTGCTGAGGGTGGTGGACCATGGAGGCTTCCACCTGAGTGAGTTTAGAAATTTCCTTTACTGTACATACTCATACTTATACACTCGTTTAGAAGAGGGCAAAGCTGGTTTCCCTCCTTCCATTTCCTCTGGATGTTTTTCCCAGGTGGACAAATGTTGATTGGTGCAGGTCCAGCCTGTGCAGGATCCTCCTTGTAGTACTGGGTTCAGAATTAAACCACCCTGTTCCTACAGTTGTGTGCAACAGAGACCTCTCTTCTCATTAATTCCATTTGCAGGAGGTTCTTACCTTGCTCCTACGGTTGAGTTTGTGGGACTTTGTCTGCCTTATAATGCCAGCTACATGATGAACTTCCTCTTCATAATTCTGGTTGCTTGACATATGACACTTTGTTTAGTTATGGTTGGTGTTGATGTGTATATGTAACATGGTCCACATGCTCTAGCCACAATGTTTATGTTGCCATATATTACTTTTTTTTTTAACCTCCTAATGCCGGGGATGAGTTATGGAACCTCTTCTGTGCAGTTGTGGTTGTGAATGTACATAGCCAATTCTGTTTATATTTTACCATGGATTGCATCTCTCAGAAAAAATTGCATTTGTGCATATCCTTTTATCTGCCCATATCAGATTAATTTCCTACTTCAAAGGTGAACAGCATATCTGTTCAAAAAGTAGTGCAGTACCTCAGAAGTATGCTTCATTTTCATTTCATAGCATATCTGTTCATTATAAATGGTCACTTTTTACTTGGTTAGACTGACCCCTCTACTTTTTCATTGTGGGATTCTAGCTTTGTGTGAGAGAAGTTAAGACTACATTAGAAGTTAACATTTTTATTACACTGAAAATATATTTCCAATAGGTATTTACCTCTGGTCACACATAGTTCACCCTTCCTCCCCACTGCTGGTGTTGTTCTTTTGGAACCTGCCAATTCTCTAAAGTGAAGATTGTTCAGAAATAGCAGAGGGAGCTAGCTTCACCAATATAGGTGGTGCAATACTATTGGTGGAGAGTAGTCACATGATATCTGCATGTTCAGAAATGGTGTGAAATTGCTGGGGGTATATAGACTGGTGCAGTGATTGTGAAAATTTTTCAGCAATGCTCAGAGGGCAGAAGAAGATTGAAATAGCTTTGTGTAAGACTGTATTGCAAATACATTTTCATGCAAGAAAAATGTTAACTTTGATGTGCTTTGCACAAAATTCCACAAACAAACAACCTCTCCACTTAATTGAGAATCCATCCAGGAGACTTACAGTATGTGCAAATTTACTATTTCAACATACTATACTTCCACATAATAATGATCCACTTACCTTACACATTCACTGTAATTTGAAAAGACATGCTCCAATATGGCAGAATGCACATATAACTACTGGAAATTTGACATCACTGAAAATGCTATGTTGTTATCCATATATCCTTAAAAAGTAATCCTTATCTTCAAGTATCACAGTTTTTGCATTTTGAAGTATCAACAGTATATGGAGATTTGGCCCCAAAACACATGAATTTCTAAATTTGTTTACTACAGATTTGCAAACTGTAAGTTCCCTGCTGTTTCACATGACCCACTAAATGCAAGCAGAGAATACAGGTGGAGGTTAAAACATCTGACACAGATAAGTAAATGATGTGGCTAATAAAACAAAATACTATTGTTTGGTATAAATTTTGCAGAAGGGAATATTTTATTCCTAAAGAAGAATATAAAGTAGTAAATCATAAAGTAGATTTTGTTTAGGCAGTTCTGCATGTATGTTTTCTAATGTAAATACACTTGATGAATTTGGG